ATTAACACACCCCTTTCTTTTTGAACTACATATCTGTGAAAGGCCAGATTTTCCCCATGTGTTTTGACCAAACCAACATATTGCAGCAGATAGTGTACATAAACAGACACGAGGCTCCAGCTGTGATAAACCAGCTCTTCCCTGACAGATATCTGAAGACTATGATCAAATTCCCCAGTATCTTCCTTCTTTTGATCTATATTCCCTCCACCCATTGTTTTTAGCTGTTTCCTCCCTGGATGGGGTTTGAAGTCTCTTAAATAGCCTGATCCTCTTTGAATACACTGTAGTTTGTCTATAACCCTCAAATTATATGTGTTAATGCCAGGAGCAAGGGATAAAGATAAATAACTCTAGTTCAAAGTCTAAAATCTCAAGACTAGAGGACTATCTAATTCCTTTCTATTTTTAGCTTGGTATTCTGTAAGTTTTCTTCAGGTGCTCTGAGTCTCCAAGTATGACTTCTCGTCCCAGTCAGGACTGGACAGTACCATTGTAAACTGTCCCCACAAATCTCTCTTTCTTTTGAAAATGAACACTCCTGGCACTGAGAATGACCAGACTTCTTCCAGGATGTAAGGGATTGGGGGATGCACTGTGCCTAATCCTCCCCTCCCACAGAGAGTATCTCATTTAACAATGAAAAGTCACATAGAGAAAGCAAAGACCAGGTTGCCCAGACCATCTTATGACCTCTCCAGAGAAAGAGATCAGCAAGGGAGACTGAAACACCTGGATGAAAGACTAAAGATGACTTTCATCCAGGCATTTATGATGCCCGCATATTTGCCTCTTGAGTCAACAAGATCATTGCACTGGGATATGGGTATTTGATTTCCTGTACTTTTTTTTAAAAATGGGATGCCTTGGCTAGGTTGTATAACCTCTCAGGATATTTCTAGACTCTCTCATCTAGAAACCCAGAGAAGTGAATATATGATCCTTAAAGTGTCTCCCAGCTGTGATATTCTTGGATTCCCCTCCAGAGGTGCAATTGATCTTTGATTACCCGTGTTAGTGGAAGAGAATGTTATTTGAATACTGCAAATATGTAGATAACAGGGAAGTCACTTCTATTTGGTTTTAGAATGTATTACATGGTGTGGAGCAAATCACAACAAATTAATCTTCCCAATGAAGCTTAACCCAGGCTAATGTTAAAAATCAATGTGTTTACGACTAATGGTGCTGTGCACTGCTAAACAATGTAAGGTAATATTCCCCAACACAGCCTGGGGCCAGGTGGGGAAGATGTGGGAAAATCTGGCTGTAGCTCTATCACTTCCTAGCTTATCCACTCTGCACCTGAAATACCTCATCMTTAAAATGGATTTAAAGACACTTTCCAAGCACTGGCTGAGTCAGGCTTTATGCTGGCAAGAATACACAGAAACAAATAAGACAAAACCTTTCTTTCAAGGGTCTCCACCTAATGAAAGAGAAAAAGGGTTTTGAGTGCAATGATAGAGATAAGCATTGAATGCCATGAAAACTCAGGTAAGGGAAGGCACCTAACCCAGCACAATCTTGGGTAATCTTCTAGGGCTTCCCAGGGACATCCACAGCTAAGCCAAGACTCAGAAAATGGGAGGACTTAATGAGGTGGGTTAGGAACCAATTGGGAGATAGAAAAAGATATGGGCATTTTAGGCAAAAGGAATCACACAGATGATATTCCAAGTTAGAGTGGGTTTATTTGTTAGCATGTACCCCAATCATAGTCAAATAGCATCTTTATGTATGAAAGAAATTTCTGAATTGAGACCAAGCCAGATTTTTCTTTTTCATTAAATGTTCATTCGAATAAAGAAAAAAAAATAAAGAATCACAACCTTAAAAAAAAAAAAAAAAAAGGAATCACACAGCAAAGACAATGATTTATGAAAGAACGTGGAACATTCCAGAAGCAGGAAGTTCCATGCTGCTGACTTTAAGGGAGCAGGTAAACAGAGGCCTGGTATTTTATATTGTTTTATCCTGAAGATAGTGAGAAGCCACAAAACTTGTAGGTATGCTGTTTCATAATTGCTGGAGATACAGAGTTAAAAGTCTATGCAAGTTGGGCTTCTCCCAAGATTCACCATCTGTAATAATCAGTTATTTCTGTTATGATTATTATTATTATAGCAAACAATCCCATCATTTTAGCTGCTTAATATGTCACTTTTCCTCACTGGTCCATAGGCCAGCTGCACTTGGCTTCAAGATGTGGGCTGGGTTCTGCTCTGTGTCTTCATTCTTGTGCCCAGACTGAAGCAGCGATGACTCCTTGAAGCATGCTCCTCATCTCAGAGGGTGGAAGGTCACAATTGTGGTTGAGATCCATCCTGGAACCCCCGCTTGGATCTGCAACACTGTCCCTTGTATCCAGAGTCTGCAGATCAAAGCATGGCAAAGCCCCCTTGTGGATAAACTGGAATGTATACTTCTCCTGTGGTAGAAAGCTCTGCCAAGTTGCATGGCAAAGAAACTGGATATGCTTACGTGAGGGGAGGGGGTGAAGACTTGGGATCCACACAGCTGCATTCTCCTCAGGGTTCCCAACTTTTCATTTCTTATGTCTTGTTTCACTCAAGTACTTTCTGATGGCTGCTGCTTGGGAAAATCTCTGTACCAACACTCGGAGGAAACCAATGAGTTTCTTAGTTAATCAGAAGCTCAGTTTGTTGTTCAACACAGTAACTACCACCTCTTGGCATTTCAAAGACAGGCACCTAACACTAGCTGTATTCCAGAGTCTAAGTTTCCACCCTTTGTTCTCATCTGGCCCTCCCCATGAAACAGACACTTCCCTGCTTCCTGCCCTAAGCCACCCCTGATACATTGTTAGTGAGGCAACATTTCTTCTTTTCCTCTTTTCTATTTTTTTAATCAGCAAAAGAATGTTAGACTTTGTACATAGAGATGAAGTCACTTGTAGGGCGGGCATGCAGTAGCATGTAGGGTGGTAGGAGTCATCAAGAAAATTGTAAGTTAAATAGTGATACCTAAAGTAAGCCATGGATTTGGCTGACCTCCAAGAAAAGTGTGAATATCAATCTCTTTTTTAAATCCTGCTCCCTTTTGATAAATAACAACAATAAAACCCATTCTCTCCTTTAATGGTTGACACTTAAGGTCACTTTCAGTGAACCTGTCGAGCTGCTTTGTTTTCACAGTGATAGTCACAGAGATCAAAAGCAAATGGGATAGTGTTTTCAGAGTTTCAAGGAAATTTTTCAAGATGGGAATGACTGGGCCAAAATTTAGAAATTGAGCAAGAATTTCACTAAAAAATGCCATTTGGATTTGGCCAGAGCCATTGCTTCTGGTTGCCCAGGTTGTGCTCTGCACAAGGGCTCTTGGTCAAGAGGACAAGTGAGGCTAACATCAATCAGCTCATGCCCTGCTGGAGTGGCTGAGGCCCTGGTGCAGAGTGGCATCATTTGGAAAAGGGGATACCTTTTGTAAAGCCCACAAAACTGTGATCTGTTTGCCAAGCTTGAGCCCCAGGGGCCGTCTCTGCATTCACCCAGCAGGCTGCCTTTTTCCAAATTGCACAAAGCACCATATGGGCTACTGGCCCTGAATTAAACAACTGGGAGGTCAATGGAGAGGAGAAAATTTTAAATTTACATGAAAGCCCTTTGTAGACTGTATGGCACTATTCAAGTGTAAAGCAGGGCAGGCCAAGGTGATTCTGAAGCCAAGCAGGTGACAGGAGAAATTACATTGACCACAACATTTTCTGCCCAACCCACAGCATGTAGAATGCACATGAGACATTCAGATATCTGACAGGCTTCTCTATGGGAAGCCATCTGAGGGCAGACTGGCCAGAAAGCACAGATGGGAATGGAAATGCTGACTTCTAGAAGTCCATTCTAGTCACCACCCCAGGGCAGAATCTAGCCAGCAGGGCAGAGCGCCTCAGACAGAAGCATCTGGACCAGCCTGACCTGACCTAACTGCCAACCCCTTTGATCTTGCTGGAGCATGATTTCAAGAAAACATCAGGCTCCGTGGGTTCTCAGAAGCCTACACTACAAACCAGAGGAGGTTTTTGTAAAGCTCTGTAGCACTGTGATTGGGGGGATATACACGGTGCTTCAAAACCCGCAGAGACCTGTACAAAAACTGCAGGGCACAAGTGCCAGTTCCCTGGGGAAATCCCCAGCCTGGGTCTGGTGCCGCAGGGAATAAACGGGGCTGGCAGCCTTCCCTCATGGTCTGTAGTCCAGAAGGGATGCCAAGGAGTCGACTGGACCAGGGAGATGACCCCAGCTGCTGGCCTCACTCGCTGCTGTTCTTCCTTGGGTGAAAACAGCATTATAACATTTTCTTAGAGTGCATACAGGGAATGCAAATAGGTGGTTGTTTAAAAATGATCCCTGTCTTGCTTTCATGTCGATTCTATTGCAAAATAGAATTATATGAGCCATTTCATGTGGAATTTCTAAACCCAAGTCCCTAAAGAGATTTGTCTGAGCACTTTGCTTTTGCAGTTTGGGAAGGTGGATTTAAAGAGACATCGATTTGTTCGTAGGCAATCACCAGCTACCCATACCTGATCAGTGCTTCATGCCACCCTGTCTGTCCTAGGGCCACACATTATCTGAGCTTAAAGCCACACTGGTGACTGTAAAAGTTCTTGACTCTGGAGGATTCAAGGATTCTAAGACTTGCCACTTTGATGGTGGCAGCTTTCTGAGACAGAATTAGGCTTGGGTCTAGAAATGAGAACAATCTAAACCAACAAAAAGCTACAGCTCAGAGAACTTCACAAGTCACTGTGCTGGAAACATTCACCATGGGCATATGTGCTCCCACCTATTCTCACATCACAGCTTCCTGAGAGCAAAACTGCCCCTATTTGGGGTTATTAAATTATCACGAACCAGTTAGATGAGCAGCAAGTGCCATTTTTCAAGGAACTGAGCATGAAAGACCCTCCAACCCTGAAGCTCATGGGAAGGAGTGAGGCAGGAACTCTGCTGAGGTTTTTGGATCACCCTCAACAGCTGTGTAACTGATAAGCTCATCTTCGGACAAGGAACCCGCTTGACTGTGGAACCAAGTAAGTAACCCTTTTTTCTGGAACTTGGGGTTAATGTATCCTCCACCTAAGGAGGCAGAAATCTTAGGAAATGTGGAAGGGGTACAGATGACACTCAGCACTACAACGGGCGTCAAGGAGGACCCCTGGGAGGAGATGAACTGTACTTAACTCCTTCATAGAAGTCAGGGGGGGAGGTGACACCAAAAATTAGAATTTGGGGATGTAGAAGAACCCCTACAGAAAGAAAACTCTGCCCAATCCATGGAATGAGGGTCAGGCTGAAGAAACGAGATTCACTGGTCCAAATCCCCAAGCAGGGTCAGAATGGACCTGGAATGAGATTGACCTGAGCCAGGTGATTCTGTTAAAATATAAATAATTCTGACCTTCCATCGGCCAAACCCCAGCTCCTAGGAGAGCCCAGAACTGCACCAGTTCCCTGGGCAGGGAGGGTGAGCCCAAGCAAGTGATCATCTGGAACAAATGTGTTGCTACGTTTCTCTTTAGAAAAAAGGAAGGTGTTCCAGACATTCATTTCTTATTGTTTGAGCTGCAAATTTCTGTTTTTAGCAAGAAAAATGATTGTGGTTCCCAGTGAGACCAGATTTCAGGCAGAACAAAGTGAATGTGTAATGCTTCCAACTAAGAAATGCTTTGAAGTTTGTCGGACACAGCCAGGAGAAGCTCCCTCAGGACTCCTGCTGTCCATTTTCCCCACACACGGGATATGGTGCCACTCACTAATTAAATGTTATAAAGGAATCAGTGCTGATGTTGTTGAAGGATTGTGCTCAATACAGAAAGCATCTTTTGTTGTCACTTAAGTGAAATTTGAACTCAATAATGTCTTGCTTTGCGAAAGAAAAAAAAATAGACAGTGGTTTCTACTTGGSAGCAGTTTCAAGTTAGTGCATATCTTAAGCCAGAGAATGTAACAAAACAATACCAAAAAATTAAAGGTCCTAGGGAAGTCTAGCAATGGGGGTCAGTGGTCCCAAGTCTGCTAAACTGTCTATTAGGAAAGAAACAATACACTCTGGAGTTTTCTAAGGTAAAAGAAGGCTCTAGAGATGCAGGATGGGAGACTACAATGTGGTAGGCTCCTCAAAGAATAGTCTGGAATAGGATAGTCCTGGGTGTATGAAATGAAGGAGGCAGAGTGTTGAGGGCAGAGGAAGACAAAGGACAAGCCTCGGCAGGCATTTCCAGGCCTCAGGTGCTGTGGGGAAAGCAGCGGGCAGGGGCTTTGTGTGCACAGGGAAATAGAGAGAGCTAACACTATGCTAGTAGAGGCAGGGCAGAGAAATTCACATTTTTAAAATAATAATAATAAAAATCTTAGTAAAGTTTTATAAATTCGAGCAATTCAGGCACTTGCCTTTAAACATTTTTGACTTTACAATTTCTTGCTGAAGTAATAGTTTATCCACATTCCCCAAAACATTAGTGGCTGACTTCCCTGACCTGCCTCTGTTCTTTGCCAAGTTCTTCCTGTGAATTCAGTTCCTCTGCTTTTTGACTTACTGGGTCCACTACTTCTCTGAGTGGGACATGCAATAGCATCTGATTCTAGGTGGCCTACAGATAGACTTTTTCTTTTGAATTGCTTTTAATAGAGATCAGAATAGTATAAGTAGGTCATCAAAACCATATGACAAAGTTTCCTTATAAGTTAACTTATAAGAGTGACTAAAATTAAAGAAATTATTTAGCAAATTGTAATGGACGGATTATAGCCCTAAAAAAGGAGATGTGTTAATTGAAATTTGGAAAACTCTGGGCAGGTGCATTCCATCATTCTTTAAAATGAAAAGATTAGGAGCATCCAGACTATCTTTGAATGGTGCCTACATTTTTAGCCAACTGATAGTGGATTAAAGAGGCCTCACTGTAACCAGCCTTTATCTTCTCAGACGTCTACTTTCTTTTGATGCTTTCTTTCCTCAGGAGCATCTTTCAAGTTCTTATTTGCAGGGCTCCCAGGGAACATAAAACTAACAGAACAGGTCTATACAAACCCATAGCCATGGATCCCACTGCACATTTTCACCCTCTAGATACAGAAAACCTGGGGATACCATTTAACTTCATAAAACAGAAACAGAGAACAGGACTAAACAGCACACAGCAAGGTGCCACAATGGACAGATGTGCTACTGAGCATGACAATGACAGGAGTTTAGGAAAAGGCCACCATCATCAGAAACCTCCTCACAAAAGTGGGCCACTAGATGGGCTTAGGATGCTGCTTTGTATTTCATCATTACATCAACTACTATTTTTTTTGAGTGTTGTCAGACCACAGGGCTAGGCACTTTATGAAAGTCATTTATTTAGTTCTCATGGTGATCATATGGGACTAGTTACCATTACTTGCATTTTGTAAATCCAGAAACAATCTCAGAGGGGTTCCCCAACATCACACAGCTTCACAAAGTCATAATTTGAATCATCTGTCTGATTCCATAATCTGTGCTCATAAGCCCCCTACTCTTCTATCAGGGCTGCAGATCCACTGGGTGGAAAACCCCTAGAGGTTCTTCCTGCTTGGTCCAGCCTGTTCCTCAGGCTCCAGCTGAATTAGAAACAACAAGTTATGCAGCTTTCCTTCCAGGTGCCACCCCTACCACCTCCTTCACCGAGGAAGGACTCCTGCCCCCACACCAGAGCCAGTTACCCAAATACCCATTCTCCTTCTGCAGGAGGAGCTGGGAGGGGTCCATCCCTCAATTGCACCCCAGGGTCTGAGACCCCCTAAACACATAAAGGTCCAGATGATGACTGGAGCATTCTTTTCCCCAAGAAGAGCAACCCATAAAATCCTGGGCTCATCAATATGTTTCCAAAATTCCAAAAGATATGTTTCCCACTGCACCCAACCACTGGCCTGCCATCTTTGGCATCCTCTGTCATTCATGATGAGCATGTCTCAGAACGGAGACTTTGCGCCTGTGCATCCCTCTCTCTGGAGCCCTTTTCTCCTAGAGACTGAGTATAGCTTTCTTTCCTCCTCCTCCAGGTCTATACTCAAATGTCACTTCCAGTAAGGTCTTCCCCAACCTGTCACTCTGCAGATCCCCTTTCCTATTATATTATTTATAGTACTCTTGTCCACCTGAAACTTTACATTAATTTGTCGTCTGTCTCTCCTGTTCCATGAGAGCAAAGACTTTTCAGTTGTTCCTTACTATATCCACAAATACATTCAAGGCACTAAATAAATGTTTGTTACAGGAGTGAATGAATGAATAAATGAATCGATCAGAAGACAGGTCAGTTGCAGTTTAGGCAAAAGGAAATAGAAATGGAAGTAAGCTGGAAACCTACAGGACCAAATCTGTGTTCCAACCTGTGACATGTCACTGTCCCTATATGGCAAGCACTATTCTAGGTACCAAGAAATCAGCATGAACAGAACAGAAAACCATGCCTTGTTGGAGCTTACTTTCAATGTCAAAAGACAGAGGGTGAAAAAAAATACATATATATATATATATATACATATACACACACACACACACACACACACACACTATTTTAGGTGTAAATAAGCTCTGTGGGGAAAAAATTTAAGCAGGAAAGTAGAATAAAAAACTGTAGTGGGAAGAAGCGGTGTGCAATTTTAGAGAAGTCACAAAAGTCCTCATTGGAGAGGTGACCTTTGAGCAGAGACCTGAGGAGGTGGCAGCATGAGTCAGCAGCTATCTGGAGGAATTGATCTTCCAGACAGAGGACATGGCACTGCCTGGAGTGTGTGAAGAACAGTCAGGAGGACCATGGCTGGAAGAAAGAGAGAGCCAGGGAGAGAATTTGAAAATGAGGTCAGATTAGTAATGGGGGTGGGGAAGTGTGGCTGGTAGGCCAGTGTAGGGACTTCTACTTTTAGAGTGGAAAGGGAGGATGGAAGAGCAAAATGGAAGTCAGGTAAGACAGAAACCTGATTCTAGTCCTCACCAGTGACCCTACGAAGTGGGCACCATCCTCAGCTCAAAGAACACCAAGAAGCAGGACTTGTTCTCCCTCTTCAACCTCTCCCAACAGTCCTTCCTGTGAGGGAGCTCTGTACTTACTGAAATTACATTCCCCTGCTTCARATAAAACTTATTTCCTCTGAGTCTAAACCTAATAAACATTTTAATAATTACATYTGGGGCTTTCTAGTTTACAGAATGCTTTAGGTACATCCTTTTATTTAATCTTACAACCTACCAACACAGAAGATAGTATCTTCATTTTATAAAAGAGGCACATAAAGCTCAGTGAACTTCAGGAACTCAGCCAAAGTTACACACTCTGGGAGGGACAGATTCAGATCTCCTATCCTGCTRCTTCACCACAGCTGAGAAGCACCTTCATTTTTAGTGACTCTCAAGTGCTTTATAAAAAAATGCACAGTACTTCCTTGGTTTTGTGAGTGACCTACAGACAATCTCATAGACGCTGATTTTTACATATGACAGAAGCTAATTTAACTGTCACTTCTAAGTGTGAGTGTGGCACTTAGAGCTTGCTGAAATTTAGTACTCATGAATATATTATTAAAATAGACTGAAGAACCTAATTCCATTATGTACTGAGAAGTCTGTCTGCTGCACAGCACTCAGAAGCAATGCAAATTTCCACTGGATAGCAAACGGAATTCCTGCAAGGTTAGAATGAGTGGAGGACATAACCCACTAGGTCTTCACCCCACCTAAGTGTCACCCAGAGGCGAAGAACCACAGCTCTAGGACCACTGTTCCACCCTTTCTTACCCCCAATCAAAACAAAAAAACAAATTTCCAGTCTATAGTCTCTCATGTGAACATTAGTTCTGTCAGATTGTAACATGGGGAAAAGCTTGGATTTCTCTGTGACCCAGAAGTCCTCTGCTGCTTTGACCTGAAACCCAGTCCCCAAGACTAAGGGGAACAGACACTGGGCCAGATAAGACAGAGAATCCCATCTAATGGATATCATGTGACTTGGCAACTGGGGCCAGACTGGGTTGTGTAAAGAGAAAAGTAAAGTGATTATTA